CGTGTATGCGGGTGTGTATGTGTGTGTGTGCGGTTGCATGTTTGCGTGATGGGGGAGGTGTAATATTGAACTTCTCTTTCTGCCATTCGGTAGGGAGGGGGCATGAATATGGGAGACACACTAGGGTGTGGGGGATGATGCGTGCCAGGGTGTCGATCTGTGGCTGACACCACAGTGACGCATGACCATGGGGGGGGGGGGGGGGGGGGGGCAGACACCTTCCTCAGCTCCTCACCCCAAAGCTAATACAGATCCTGTAGCCATGAAGGCTTATGGACATCTGAGAATGCAGTGTGATGCAGTGGAGTATACATGATGCCTTTCCAACACTGCCATGTGCTTCTAGTTAAAAACAAACGCCCCGCTGCCCCCTGCACATCCCCCCCCCCCACCCCACAGGCCGGTGAAAACACCAAGAGCTAAAATCAGGCCCAGCCATGCAATCGTAAAACCTTGCCCACTGTGTCATAAGCTTGGCTGACCTCGCGCTTCTGTTCAGCAAGCTTAACCATTACCCCCCCCCCACCACCCCCCCACCCCTCACTATCCTGTGGACCACCCAAAAAGTTGAAACCGAGTCTGTCTGTCATCTGAAGCCTTACAATAAAACCCCTAGTTGGGCCATCTGAGTCGGCTCGTCTATGCAGTCAGATTTGTGGTGGGGTCCACGTTGACGTCATGCGTCACATTATCAGCGGCGGTCAGTTACCGGCCGGCTTCCAGCCCAAGCTGTCCAGCTGCTGCACAGTCGTGCTTATTGCTCACAGGACGAGTAAAGGTGGGAAAAAGGAATAAATCACTCAGCGGTTAAAGCTTCACTGGCCCCCACCTGGCCCTGGGGACTTGTGGTGTTTACATCCTAAAGCCTCAGGTCTAGGCTGGCTGCTCTGAAAAGGATGTGTTTTGATCTGACCACGCCCCCCTGGGTGTCCATTAGCCAATCGCAGAAGAGCAAAAAGCTCAATGCAGCGAAGGTCACGCTTCAAAACCAAGTTTGTGTTTCTGTCTGTGATCATCACCTTCCAATCTTTTTCATTTTCAGGTTACATATTAATTTTAAATCTTTTGAATTGCATGGACTGCCCTGACCAGGATAAACGGCTGGAAGATGGATCAATTGAAATCAATGTTTTACTATCATCCTATAAATATTATCCATCGAATCACAATATACGTTTGCTATACTATCATATCAGCAATAACGTGGTGTCAAAACCTATTTTAGTCATTAATAATCCTATAGCAACTTTCCCAAAGTGTGTGATGAAAATTCAAGAACAGCAGAACAGACGGACATCACCGTTAATGGAATGCAGGGCCGAGAGGCTTAGAGGAAAGAAAAGTCAACGGAGGACAGGAAACAAAAAGTCCTGTGGTAGTTATGGGAGGAAGGATCTCTGTGAGCTCATGGCCATCTGGCTTTCGAGCCTCCCCCCACCCCGAGGCATTCTAACTCTGGACAAGTCTGAGATGTATGTAGGTGTTCTTAGAAATAAGGTTTAAATGGAGTTGCAGTGGTCTATCCAACCCGGCATGAGGGCAGCCATTGAGCGCTAACAGACCTGCAGATCTGCTGGTGGAGTCAAAAATAACACTGGGTGAATATGATTGGCTCAGAGGTTAGTGCTGCAGAATCACATGGCTTTGAGTCTCGCCCCCTGCCCTGTGTGCATGTCCTCCCCATGTCTGTGGGCTTCTATAGGTTTCCTCTCAAAATCGAAATACATGCAGTTTATGTGAATTGCTGTTTCTAAATCTGTGTCTATTTGTCCAGCCTCCATGTGGCTCTCAATGGATAAATGACTAAGGAACATGGATGAAGATGAGAGCTGATGAGCTATTATAATAATCTATCCATCTACCAATAACTTATTCTGGTCAGAATCACATTATGGGGGGGGGGACTGGAAACTATACTAGTCTGCACAGGGCAAAGACTGGGGTACACTCTGAATGGGATGCCTGTCGATTGCAGGACATGCACACACACAAACACCATCATACACCATGGATAATTTAGAAATATTAATTATCCTGTGTTGTGGGAGGAAACTGTGAAACTAACAAACTATTATATAACTAGGTAAAAAACAATCATTTTAACTAATTGAACTCATCTGCACTGTACTTAAGCTCTTTGAACATTACATCCATCCACTATCATTTTTTTTTTATTCTTTATTTATATTGTCCACATGCTTGACTCAGCATTGCACATCTCCTGTAAAAAAATCCTTGTATTTTTACTTTTAGATGTTTATTTGTATGTGTTTTCTGATATCACCCGCACAATAAAGAAATTCCTTGTACTTCTCTGTACTTGGCGAATAAAAAGATTCTGATAACCCAAAATATCATTGTATATATAAAATCAACAATATTAATGTGTAAGCCAAAAGCATATTCAGAAAATTAAACTGATACCTTAATTGAATAAGAAAACCCCACCTCAATAACAGCCATTGTTAATTACCTTCCAGCTGACACAAGTAGCTAATTAGCCTCCCCCAGTGTCCAATTGTAATTATTGCGATTTGTCCGAAACATATATATATATATATAACCCCCCCCTCCCCTTTTGCAAGGTCAAATTGGATACTGAGGAATAAAGAAACAAAAACATTCTCATTTTTTTTTCAGTCCAATGGTGCAGAAAAGATGCAGATTAGAAGATAGATGTGAAAAATCCCCCGGAACACTTTAACCATGGCATGGACACTACGGGCTTCAGTGTGGCCTTTGTGTGGAGGTTTTCGTCTTGGCTCCCTTCCAGAGAGAGAGTAGATTTGTGCAGAGTTCATGGTATTTGCCTGTCAGGGCCCAAATGAAGAAGTGGATGTTTTGAGGAGCCTGCGGCACCTTGCAGAGATCATGTCCTCCCGCCAAGTAGGTGACTCAGGAGACACCGATCAGAGACGCCACAAAGGGTCCGGCGTCATTTTGCGAAAGAATCTGCCCATGTTGGAACAACACCATGAACTCTGCACAAATCTGCTCTCCCGATGGGAGGAAGCCAAGACAAAAACCTCCACACAAAGGCCACACTGAAGCTCGTTTAAGGTATGCAGAACCCTCTGGGGAACCTGAAGCCGAGCGGGGAAAATGTTTTATGATCTGCTGAAACCAAAATAGAACTCTTTGGCGACTGCAGAATTCAGTCTGGTGAAAGGTGAACACAGCGTTTCACTTAATGAGCACCATGCCTAGTATAAAACATAGCGTGGGCATCACGATTTAACGGGGGTGTTCCTCTTCCTCGCAAGAACACTTGTGAGGACTGAGGGAAGTTGCCAAATTGGATCTTAAACAGTACTTGCAAGAATATAAATGGATGTAAAGTTGGTTGTTCATCCTGATTAGGACCAAATGTGTCAAACTAGGTTGATATTGCTGGCTGATATTTGGACTTTTGTCAATATTCCAAGTTAGCAGCAGAGCTAAAGACAGAACTACTAACATATTGGAGATTGTCCAGTGCAGTTATCAGCCATTTTCTGTGGTGTAGGATGAGGGATTTTGGTGGCTCATTCGCCACTTATCACTTAGTCTCCCAACTCGGTGATACATTGCTGGTATTTTGCTGCCTGCATTATATGATGTGGTTGCTACACATATTTGTGGGATTTTAAGATGTAACATCACCAAATTCAGGGAGCTCAGGATGTAAATGGTTGTTGGTATAAAAAGTGTTAGACAAAAAATATTGGTTATTTGGTATCGATCAGAACTTCAACATCAAAGCATCATTCCAATAGCATTCTGTCTTAACAGGAGATGGACTACAGAACAGAAAGGGGACTTCCTGAGGCAGACCAATCAGAGAATGACCTCAATCTGATTGGACACCTATGGAGTGAGCTGAAGAAGTATGTCCACAAATGGTCTTGCTGAAGCTTTCCTGGAAAACTGAGTAAATATTCCCAAATGTATCTGTGATTTCTTTCTACCACTTCCAAAAAACATGCAACAGGTGTACGCACATTTATCCATCATAAATATTTTATTATTCATTATTTTTGGATAACTGGAGCACATTTCTGCTTGGAAACTATGTATATGTAAATGGAGGTGAAAGAAAATCTGATTTCATTAGATTTGATTGTTTCGGCTGTTGGACCAAAAATAAGGGTTGTGCTCTTTTGTCAGATGACTTAGAAACCCTGTTACAAGACGATACTGCTGCACATCTGTATGGACTGGACTTGCATTACAGAAAGAGACAAAAGTGCTGAGGGGGAGAACTTTATTTTGCCGAACAATACATCTAAGGGACTCCCTGGGAAGGTGGGGGGGGGGGGGGGGCTCTTCCATTTATACCATGTGATCCTGCCATTATGAAATGTAGCCTGAGCCTGGATCGTCTTCCTGCCTCACACTTAATGCACTCACACAACATCTGCGCTTCTTAGCTGCATGCACCGATCCTCCATCTCATCCACATTACTATTCATTGATATTTTATTCCAGACTGCTGGTGACAAGCTACAGATTTGTTTATTTATTTTCCTACTCCGTCGACTGTTCTAGTACAGCGGCAACTATCTACCAGGAAGCCTTATGTCCAGGCAAACTGTGATGATACAAACCCCCTAAATATTTCTTTTGCGTATTAATTCATAAGCTTTGCGTCGATCTGCTGCTTTGTACAACAGCAGTTCTGTGGCGGGCAAGGGGGTGAAATTCTACTTGTTAATAGCCTATAACTACTGGGGAGGGATTATTTTATGAAGTTTAGTCTGAGACAATTCATTGTTTGCACGTCAGTGCATTTTCTGATTCAGCAGCAGGTGGAACCTGAGATCTGTGTCCCAGGTAGAAGGTACAGAGAAACTTAGGAGGTACCTTGATGAAATGTCAGGTGAACATGGATCACTTTAGTTAACAGTGGAACATTTCTGACTCGGAAGGATACGTGCTGTTTGACATCTACAATCACTTGATCTTAACCCCTTGAAGGCCTTACGAAACCTTTATGGAGGAAAGTACAGTTCAGTATAGTATTCAGCCTACACGGCAAATATAATATTGGTTTTATTGACATGTATGTAACACAGACATTAGGAATTTTATATAGCATTATTTTTCAGTTCTGTGAGGACATCACTACTGACGCTCAGACCTCTAACCTCGAAATCCCCATCAGCTGCCTTCATTTCCATCAGTACCTTGTCAGTTTCTTTCTTTAATGAAGGACTGGCGCACAGCAGGGACCGGAAATGATCAACCAGATCCCCAAAGGACACTGCCTGTTCACTGGTCTGGACCCACTGCCCTTCATTTATGTCGTATTTGAGAGTGTGAGCCCAGCTTTTCAGAACATCTCGATAAGCCTCCCTGAACTTCGTAGAGACTTTGACGACCTGTGTGATCGAAGAAACCGGCAGGACCCGGCAAAAAGTCTGCAGGAGGTCCCGGTCGCGCTGCAGCCAGTCTGCAATCACCTCCTGCGCTCTCCCGTCGTCGTCTTTACTTTTGCCGGACAGAAGAGCTGCTGCCAGGATGTAAGCGACCTGGCGCCTCTCACCTTTACATTCTTGTAGAATGGAATCCAGCAAGTCCACCGATCGCCTCTCAGAGTCGTGATGCAACATCAAGTCGTCCAGACGCCCCCGTAGTATGCGGCCCTGTGTGGCGACGGCGGGGTCGTGAAACCCCTGGTCCTCCTCTGATTCCCAGGCGTGGGCGAGCAGCCCGGTCGCAGCTTTATAACCGATGAGCTCCTCAAGGTATGGAAAGGCGGGTCCGCTGCCGTCCAGGAAGAGCCTGATCGCTGACTGGTGGAGAGCAGGATTCTGCATGAGGTTCGAGCAGAGCAGAAATTCACATCGGGCCAGGTCTGCAAACTCCAGGTCCCGGCATTGCCCAAACACGCCCCCGAGCCGCGCGTTGGCGAGCCGCAGGGCGCCTTCCAGTGTTCGCCTGGCTTCTGTATCGGTGTGAAACCTGGCGTGCAATTCTTGGCAGTAGCGGGCCCATCGGAAAGCCCGGTGCAGGGCAGCGGCGTCCCACTGCGACACGAAGCGGGTCCCCGACACGGCCAGCAGCTGCACGGTACCCTCCAGGTCCCTGCATATCTTCTCCATTGGTTTCTAACCTGCTAGTTGCAAACAGTACTGAACCCGTCTGACAGTCCGTTAACAGCGGCAGGTCTCCCCTTAGGCGTTTAAAACATAAAAACAAAACTATATAAGTATATAATCAATACTGCCACTAGTTTCCGCGAGCCGTAGCTCAAGCCTGCACGCGCGCTTCCTTTCCTGTTCTGTCATTGGACAGCTGCTTCCGGGTTAACCAGTCACGAGGCGAGGTATCAAGACGAGGGAGAAGCCATATAATCGATTAACCTCCTCCTCTTCACCCTGATTGGCCAATTCGGTTAGTGCAGAGTCTATACTACGTCATTACTGCGGACAGAAACTTTATGATGCTTTGAGAATAGGGCACCTAAGTTTTCATTATTATGTATATTCAGGGAAATTACGTGAGACTTTTGTGGGCGCAATTTTCGAAAAGCTAGTGCAAGACAGTGCAATATAAGAATAAAAATAAGTGATAATAATGCATAAGTAATACAATATGTGGACAAGGTAGCTTTGCGGAATGTGCAAATTGACAATAATACAGTGTTGGATGTGTTGGAACAGTATACGAAGTAGACTGGCAAAACGGAACTGGACAACACAATGAATATAGAATGGACAGATCACCGATCCATTAGAATTTGTCTACATGTATATTTTAAAATTTCAATATCAAAACATGAAGTCTGAGTTTACCGCAAATTTTAATCAGCTACAATATTAATCAAACTTGTACGTTTGATTAAAAGAAGCTTTTGTTTTCAACACATGAAACATCCACGTTTTTTCAGTATCTTATGAGGTTTGTTGTTATGCAACTAAAATAGATTATGGAAGCAACAGCTGTTAGCACTGCTGAATTAATCACGACTTTAAACATTTGTTTTGCATAGTATAACTTGGGTATAAACTTTTTTTGCGCTTGTCATGTGCCGTTGGATTCAGACGTCAGTTAAAATCTTAGAAATATTCATATCACCAGTAAGTGTTCTGGCAAGTAAAAGGTTTGAGAACGTTAAGCCCTGCATACACAGAATATGGAAGATACGGCATCATCGATTTGTACAGCGCAAATTTACACTTTTGCAAGACTTACATACGCACCTTACTTATTTTAACTTTAAAAAAACGCGTTAAAAGCGTTTTTTTTTTGTTTTTACAATAAGTAGCTGAAAAAAACACTTGGCTTTAAAGTTTTGTATGTTTCTCTCTGATTACGTAATGTTTTTGTATGCGTGTGAAAACTGATTTCGTCTATTCTAACCGGCCGTTCATATTATATATTGGGAATGTAGATCTTCGTGATATATTTTAGTATCTAGATATGTGATTGACAGTTTGTCAAACCTGTAGTCATACATCTGCAGAGTGAGAGCGCGTGGGAGAGTGAGAGAGTTAAAAAAGTAGGAACGGGAGAAAGAGAGAAAGGAATCGCCAGTGTTACCACTTGACTTTCGTCCTATCAGCGGTGTCCTACGTACCATGCAGCGACTTTCTGCGAGGTGATCTGGCCGTCGGGGACCTGCGATGCCCGACCTACCCTGCGCTGCAGGAGAAAAGGCGGATGAGAGCGACAGGGTCGGGAGGCAGAGAGAGAGGAAGAGAGAGAGAGAGGAGCTGGGAAGCGCGTCTGGCCGCCACAAGGAGCATTGCGGACGGTGAGTTACCGGAGTCCGACGTCTTCTGCTACGGGTCCGAGCATGCAGGGCGTCTCAGTTTAAACTTTCCGTACCCAGGTGGCAGTTGCTCTGAGCGTGCATTTGTCAGAATAAAGACTCAGTGGATCCGGATAAAGTTAAAGAGTGGGCGAACTTTTAAAATTTGAACTGACCGTTATTGTACAAAGAAATATGCAATTTTATGCTTATTGTCGCGTATTCTGATCAGTCATTGCAAAATTTGTGCAGAATGCAGAAAATTAGATTACGCAAAATAATATTAATAGGGAATTTAAGAGATGTGAAATAAGAGGAGTGCATCGATACATTTTGTAAGTCCTTGAAGGCCGTGTAAAACCCATCATAATCGTAGACCTTCATACTATACTTGTTATTATACAAAAATTATAAACATAGATCTATGTCTTGAAACTACAGTTTGAGCATTTTGTGGGGAACTCTTCCGGAGATGGGATGGAATTTGAAGTAGTTGGTACAGATGAGAACCAGCCAAACATCTGTTACAAAAGAAGACTTTTGCAAAAATAGATTAAATGTTTTCCAGTTTATATTAGTCCCTGAGCTGAAGGTGATTATTTTTGTGAACGTGGTTGAAGTGATTTCTGTTTGTACAAAATGCATTTGTTGTTTTTAACTTGGTGGGACTGAGCCATAATTTGTTAGGCATGGAGAATTTGTCTCATTTAGAGAACTAAACTGTGGCTGTTTTTAAAAAACCAGTATGAATCACTGTGCCTTTATTTTATGATTTTGTTGTGGGTGGCAGGGTGGTAATGAGTTTACGTGATGGGTCAGGAATTTATTTATGAATATTTTTGTGAGTTAATTTGTCTTTATGCTAAAAGTCTGGTGCTGTTGTGGTTCTTTTAAAGTTCTCAATAATAAAATGTTATATATGGAATTAGGGACTGAGGGCAACAGTTTGGAACTTTTACACCAACTGTGTGACAAGCTTTGTGTATGCACGAAATAGACAACTAGAACTGAACCACTTTGTGGAGCTGGGAAAAATTAAAGAGATTTTCTTTTTTATAGTCATAGTAAAAGGCTGCCACAAGATTAGAGTGGTCTGGCCATTTATAAGTTTTTTGGATAGTTTATACACCTAGTTATTTGCAGTAGAAATATGGTTGTTGGGTGAGTGTGTTTGTTCTTAGCTATCATGCCATCTACTGGCTGGAGGTGAAAGAGCACCATGAAAATTACCTGAGTAGTTTGCATATGCAATAAAGAGCGGGATACCCCAGGTAACACTGAGTCTGTCCCATTAACCTGCACCACACGTGAAGCTAAGTGAGAAAAAGATGAAACCCAATCACAAGCCATTAATAACCTCCACAAACTGAGCACTACAGGCGAATGGAACAATGCTAATCTGTACCCCCTTCAGTGCTTTTTGGCATTAATTTGTGAGTTCAGTTGCCGCTCATGCTCTGAATGCCGTCTCTAGATCAGTGGTTATATTTAAAAGATTGGAACAAATAATAAACAAATAAACAAGGTCATGTGACACAGAGACAGTGACTGGCGTGCCGGGGGGACCTGGAAAGCGGGATGTGACAATCTTTCGGTCTGATCACCGAGCCGGAAACCCTGTTCTCCTTCTCGCAGTTTATTTGACTAAGGTTCTCTGAAACTCGTAGAGGCAGTGGGTGGGGTGGGGAGTTGAAGAAAACCCCTTTTTTGTTTTTATTGTGCTGTGCTGGAATTTGGCAGATGGCCGCCTTGCTGGAGGGGCTCGCAGGCGTGTGTCGGACCCTCTGCCTTATTTCTGCGATTGTTTTGTCTGGGCGCAGCCGTCAAAGGTGAGTGGGCGTGTGAGTGCCAGGGGGATTAAAGCAGCTTCGCCCGCCTGGGGACCTCGGGTATGGACGGCAGCGCCACCCAGAGATTCCTCTAACTTTTTGGTAAGCGTGTGTCTCTCTGCCGCACTTCCTGTTATGTGTAGATGGCGAGAGATATGGGTGAGGCGGTGAAGGTGGAGGTGATGTTTTGGTGGAGACAGGAGGAGAGACTGTTGGGAATTTTTTTCTTAGAGATAGGAAGGCAGTTGAGGGGTCGGGTGTCCAGGGAAACAGGTGGGGTGGCTGGGGGTGATGTGCCCTTTAAGGTAGGAACTGACGTAAGTGTCTCTATATATGTATGTATGTAGTTATTTATTTATTTTACCGAAGGCGATACTGGTGGATTGTGGGCTGGTGCTATGTGTCTGTGATGGGATTGTTGTTGAAGTCTGTCTTTTTAGCCTACATTTTTGTCTTTTAGGAATGTTAAAGGTCAAAATGTCTTACGTGTTTGCGCTGTCTGTATTTTCCTGCCGAATATGATTTTTTTCACCGAAAAATTGTTTCCCCTATGGGGACAATAAAGTATCTATCTAAGTAAGGCAAGAGATACGAGTTACAGTCAGTGCTGCTGACGTGATGTGAGCATATGAAGTGAAGCAGCAAAGCCAGCACTGAGTCCTGTGAGAGGGGGTGCTTTGGACTGGCCAAGATCTAGGGAACTAATTGTCCATCGCTGGGCCTTGGTGGCCATACACCAGGACTTCCAGCAAGCTGGAGAGCCCTCTGGTAGAAGCATAACCCAGATATGACCATGTGATTGTAAAGACAAGCCTGCTAGTGACTAATAATGAGAGCTATGTGGCAGAATGTCCAGCCAGATAATTGTTTGTGATTTTTGCCTGGAATTCTGTTAGGGACGAGGGGAGAGGGTGGTAGTGAGTGTGGATACAAAGGGCCCTCTATCTGTAAGAATGTGGCACTAAGGGTTGGGATGTGGCACTAAGGGTTGGGATGTGGCCTAAAGGCTGAGAAAGACCGCCGCTGGGAGGTCGGAGGCCATGCATCAAAAGGCGGAATCCATCGGCGTCCACGTTTTGTCTGCGACGCGCGTCGTCCTTCAAAGATCACTGAGAGATCTGATGTTGTCATAGCAGTTGTTCATGAAGCATGTGGCGTGTGAATTTCCAGCTTCTCCTCAGAGTTTTGACAAAGTTTGCCGCAAGCTGAAGTTCAGGTTTTCATATGTGCAGCAGTCTGTTCACTGTTAGTGATAGGGTGGTGTGTACTGCAGCGGTTAGCGATCCATGTCAATGTCCGGAACATCATGGGTTCAAATCTCGTGGCTGACAGAGTAATCATACCATCATAACCCCAGCTGGTCCCGGTATACTGCCTGACTCTGCATTCTGGTCCTTACTTGTACGTCTCTTTGAACAAAAGCATCTGCTAGATAAATAAACGTAACTGTAAGGGGAGACCTTGGTGTAGCCTCCAGGTCATCGTGTTTGTTTGTGTCTGCAGTGCCAGACGCAGAGCTCAGCTGATGAATGATTATAATGTCCCGTTCCACTTTAACAGAGACTCCTGCTGGTTTTAATAGACCTCCAGTGGGTGTTAAAGCAGGTTACATGCAGGCCTTGTGGAAAGGTAGGTGTTGTGTTAGCCTCCCGGGTCTACTAGTGATTGTAGGCTCTGACCCGAAAACCCCCCCCCCGATCCCGCGTTGCGTGCTGACGGATCTCTGGCGACTCCGACCCTCTTGGAAGCACTGGTACCATCACAGGGCATGGCGCTCTGCTGCTGTGATGGTGACCACTGGAATGCAAACAAGTGGCTCCCAGTCCCAGACTCCTCTTTGAATGCTGGAGCTCTGGGTTCTTTTTTTAATGCTTTAAAAACAGCCGGTGGGTTTGATGTGGAGCAGCACCTGTGCTGATGGTGCCGCTTCGCGAATCGGGGATGCAGGAGATGGGGAATGATAACTGGCATGAGGACAGGCGGCCGTCGACAAAAGAGTGGATGTCACTGTGTGAAGGTGCTGTAGGGAGCTGATGAGGGTGATAAGGAGTCAAAGCGGCACATGAAACCCTCAAAAGCCAAGAAGCGCAATGAGGCACAGCTGCAGCTGATAGCGTGACCAAACAATGGGACGAGATGAACAGATTGATGCCCCAAGTTTGCGCAAGACTTTTGTGTAAGTTTAGGTGCAAATGTGTTTGTTATCTTAATGCTGCGGTGACATTTTTGGAGAAATCATTAAAACAGATATTACGGTGAGATCTCCACAAGGTAAATTCAGTCATGTTGTGAGGGTGAGGGATTGACATCCGGATGAAGTGTCTATCAAGATAGGAATACAAGGCGTGTGTGTGCTGTGCATGTTTGTCTGTCACAACCCCTGGAGATGATAGAAGGACAGGAAGTGTCAGGAAGGTGCTTCCCTTGTAGGGTAAGGGGGCAGCAGTCCTCTTAGCTGTCTCTTTCAGCGTCTTTCGGCACGTAGAGGAAGCAGGCTGTCCGTCTGTCGGAAAACAGGCTGGGGGAGGGCGATCTGCTGCTCACCTGGGCCTGCACCCAAAGCCAGTGTGCTAATGATGATTGCCATGAAAACGAGGACGCCAGGCCTGAAAGAATTCTCAGCTGTCAGGTCACACCCAAAATTTAGCCTGTGCCCTCATCTTGCTTCTGAAGAATAATAAATAGTGGCTCTACACCTTCCTCTGAAAGCTTTGACTCAGAATTTTGATTTGTATCTTTGGACATCTGGCATGCAGTTGTACTCTAGCCTCTCTCTCCTCTCTCTCTCTCTCTCTCTCTCTCTCTCTCGCTCTCTCTCTCTCTTTCTCTCTTTCTCTCTTTCTGTAACCTTAACTGTTGTTTGTCCATGCATGGGGATTGGGGGAGAGCACAGAGCATTGTCCAGCTAGTTCAACAATCCACACGTTGTTACCCTGTGCCCGTCTGACGGCTGGATGCCCAAGAAAAGGTTAGAAAGTGGCTCATGTTTCGTAAATCCTAGATGACGAAGGGTTTGCCAAATATAGCTGTTTTGAGGGGTGTGGAAGCAAAGATTAAAAGGACTTTGTTGCATGAAGCCCCAATCAGCCTGGTTCTGCTTTCAAGGAGAAAGTCATGAAAAGCCTCCTGTTATGGGAGAAAAGCAGAGCCGGACCAGACGATCAGCGGCTCTGAGGAGGTTCTGTGTCTTTGCTGATCCTTAAACTGCCCTGAGGCTGGAGTTTGCTGCCTCTTCAGGAGGTTCTCTGTTGCCCCACTGATCACAAGCTTAGCCTAACAAAAATGTTAGCTGTGATGCCCAGCTTAGGCAGAAAAACAGTAGATACAAGCATAGATACAAGCAACTGGGACGGATGTATGGGGTGGATGTCGAGATGGGATGAAGGGAAGATGAGATGGGGGTGTGGGGTACAGATGGTGTTTGGTAGGGATGTGGGGTACAGATGGTGTTTGGTAGGGATGTGGGGTACAGATGGTGTTTGGTAGGGATGTGGGGTACAGATGGTGTTTGGTAGGGGTGTGGGGTACAGATGGAGTTTGGTAGGGATGTGGGGTACAGATGGAGTTTGGTAGGGATGTGGGGTACAGATGGTATTTGGTAGTGATGCGGGGTACAGATGGTATTTTGTAGGGATGTGGGGTACTATGGTATTTGGTAGGGATGTGGGGTACAGATGGTGTTTGGTAGTGATGCGGGGTACAGATGGTGTTTTGTAGGGATGTGGGGTACAGATGGTGTTTGGTATGGATGTGGGGATTTTTTGATGGTTCTTAGTAGAGGAACAGATATTGCCATCTCCAGCTGTATTAAACAGCTACTTATCAATTCCTCATTAGCTGTTGATTCATCAGGCTGCTACCCGTGTGTGATAAGCGACACTCGGATAATGGTGTCTGTGAAAGAAGAAGAAAACCATCATGGTGATAAAGTCCATAATGTCAGCCCTCCTCTGCGGTGATAAACATTTTAACGAGGATCCTTTATTTGCCACCAGAAGATCCTGTGTTTGATGGCGAGGGAACTGCAGATTTTACAGTGGATGAAAGCGTTGGTTGATGGGGTGGGGGGGTGGTGGCTGAAAAGTGGGCCGGGGGGGTGTGCAGTGAGGCGGGTGTAGAGTGGAAGTTAGAGAAAAGGGGGGTGAGAAGAGAGAAGAAGAGTAAATATAAGCTGTAATGTAAGGATGTGAGGAGCAGGGAGATGAATGCAGGGGTCACATCTCTTTGGGGGGAAGGGGGGGGGGGGGGCGGTTGCGATTTGATTTCATTGATACACTGAAGAATGCTTTTTTGTCACCTAGTACAATTACAATTAATGAAACTGAAAATAATTATAATGTATCTATTGCAGGTGTGGAAACCATATTTTCAAGCCTCTAATCAGAGGTGACTAGTTCAGGTGCAGAGAGTAAAAGTCCAGGCCAAGATTTTGTTTCAACCAACCAGTTGTGCATAAAGAGTCACAATCACAGAATACTGAACTAGTTAGTTGAAACAAAATCTTGGCCTGGACTTTTATTTTCTGGACCTGAACTGTCCATTTCTGCCTCTTATATGATGGAATCTAATTGCTCTGCTGTGTCTGTGTGGCTTGAGGTCCATGTGCAGCCTGACCTTTCAGTTCCGGTGCCTGAGGTGTTTACCAGCCCTCGCCTGTGTGCTGCCCTTGCAGGACTGTGAGCAGAGACCATGTGCAGCTCCTTGAGCCCAAAACAGCAGCAGCAGCCGGGGCCCGGCCTGACGGACCTGCACCAGTACAGCCAGTGGTTGGCCAGCCGACATGACGCCAGTCTGCTACCCATGCAGGAGGACCTGGCGCTGTGGCTCACCAGCATGCTGGGTGCGTTTCTGGCGGCCTGGCTCATTACACCACACACCACACCATGGTGCACATTCATACTGGGAAAATAAGCACCATCCATGAGTATACTGACAGCACGGTGCAATGAAGCTCACACTGACTCTACGATACAGTGATGCTGGAGCATATTGATTCTATGGAAAAGTGAAGTTTGAGTACACTGACAATAAGGTACAGTGAAGTATGAGTATACTGACACTGTGCTACAGTGAAGTTGGAGTGTACTGACACATGGCATGGTGAAGGCTGAGTATACTGACACTATGGTACAATGCTGCTCGAATGTATTGCTGCTGTTGTACAGTGAAGCTTGAGTATACTGACAATTTGGTGCAGTGAAGCTGCAGTATACTGACACTATGATACAGTGATGCTTGAATATACCGACTCTGGAACTGTGAAGTTTGTGTACACTGATAATATGCTATATACACTGACAGTATGCTGACACTATGGTATAATGATATCCAAATACACTGACTCTACTGTTCATTTAAGCTCGAGTATACTCACTCTATCTTACAGTGAAGTTTGAGTATACTCAGTATGGTACAGTAAAGCTTAAGTATACTGATTCTATGGTACTGTGAAGTTTGAGCATAATGACTGTATGATATTATTTATTTGGAGTGTATAGGCTCTGCCGTACCTTGATGGCTTTCCAGTATATCATCTGTGAAACCCGGGATGCCCAGACCCGACTTTCTCGCTCACCTGTAGGAAATCCCCTTAAAGATAACCTGCTCCTCTTAATCGCTCAGTTAGTTTTGGTGTCATTTGTTCAGATGATGACGCATAAATGGGGCCTTTTTAGTGTAATCCCTTAAGTAGAAGGTATAGGTCCAAGTTACACATGAGATGAACTACAAAGAGGACCTTTTAATGCTGCCGGTTTCATTGTAATGAGACTGAGTCCAGGTTAAGAACCCTCAGCTCTGGTGCCATTTATTCAAATCTGCGTATTTCATTGATACTTTACACCTATGGCATCCCCTCTGGGATTTCCTCTGCCCTGTGCCCTCTGCTGTCTGGGATATTCTGTGCCCCAACGCTAATGCAACGCTAAGAGCTAATCTTGCCAGCCTGCTTTTCTCGGCCAGCATGAAGATTGTGGCCCTTTGGGTCTGCAGATCTTTTGCCTTCAGAGCTCCCACATCCCCAAGCCAGATGGTGAAATAATCAGAAATGTTTTAAGCAGTATTCAAATAAAAGGAATTGACTCTGCCAGCATGACCATGGTGTCGTAGTGGTGTGTGGGGTTTGGTTTCTCGTTCGTCCCCCGTTGTCCACCCCCCCCCCTCCACCGTGGAACGTAGCAATGGCCTGGTAGAGGGCAGGGGCCCCACATGGGTCGGGTTTCCCACTGCCGGTGGTAGAATGACCCGTCCTCCTGTGGGTCTGCCGTGCCAGAGAACCTTCTGCTGTTTGCCTTTGGCAGAGGTGCCAAATTCGGCATGAAGTGCCCTTTGTCAGCTGCTACGTTTGTGTGCAAATTCCTCACGTCCCCCTAGTCCTCGCATGGCTGTTGCACAGTTCACGCTTTGTATTACTCGTGCTCAGTCTTGCACGCAACTGAAGTGCATAAAACACTCCGAAGTCTTGCTGTCGTTTTCATCTCTTTGCTATAACGCTGTAAAGCGTCATACAACAGCGTTGAGTATATACTGCACCACAGAGTCTATACACTCCAAATGAGTACTTAGAGTACTTAGAATCTTAGAGTCAGTATACTTAAGCTTTACTGTACTGTAGAGTCCATACACTTCAACGCCAACTCCAGTGCTACCATAGAGTCAGTATACTCAAGCTTCACTATACCATAGTGTCAGTATACTCAAGCTTCACTATACCATAGTGTCAGTATACTCAAACTGTTCTGCAGAATACATAACCAGCATGATTCTGGCTGCACATCTCCTGACTTCCCTGTGCTCTCACCACGTTGCCTGCCCTGTGTCAGCTAGCTGGGACGGCAGCTTCTCCAGGTGATTGGCATGTACACTGATGAAAATGTTGAAAAAGCGTGTTAAAGAAAGTTGTGGTTAAGTATGGTGAAGAGAGAGCAGTAAGTAGAGAGTCTGAGATTTCACATCAAGCCCCGTTCTTCTGGAGGATTCTTCTGTTCTGTCAGCTATCACCTCGGCTACCTTCCAGACCTCCATCTCTCACCTCTTTGCACAGCAGTCGGTAGGTAGGTGATGTGCTGAATGCAGAAGTAGGATCAGCCAGGCCGGCTGGAGGGAGTTCTGATGCTCCTTGGAAGGCAGCTGCATCTAGGGAAATGCTCTGTATTGCTGTGAATCCATCCCAATAAGAAAGCAGCCTTGGATCTTTGATGCTCCTTAAACCTCGTGTAAAATCAAACATGGCTCATGTAAGGTGTGCAGACGTCCATGTTTCCTGTCCTGTTTTCGTGTCCCATGGTCTCTCTGTCCGCCTTCACTGCGCCTCAGACACTGGGAATAAATGATGCGGCAGGTTCTTCAGCCATGGCTTCTGTTTTGACAGAGACTGACACATTTAGGTGTTGGGGGGGGGGGGGGGGTACGACTCTCCAACCCTGCTTGGTAACACAGATTGTTTTCTGCCTTCTGTCCTGCAAAAGCCTGACGTCTCTCCAGTGTAGACTTAAGTCTAGTATGTGTACTAAACTGGATACATATTGAGGAACCATGAATGTTCAGAATGTAACGCCTGTCTGGTGAGTCCTTAGCCCGAACCTGTGTGAAGTTATAGGCAACCGTCCTCCGGACGTGTTAAGCAGTCGGCCACCTGTGGGCTTTAGTGCAGTGTGTGATGCTGTGTATCACTTCCTGCTGTGTATATATCTCTGCTGTGTATCTCTCGCTGCTGTGTATCACTTCCTGCCGTGTATATATCTCTGCTGTGTATCTCTCGCTGCTGTGTATCACTTCCTGCCGTGTATATATCTCTGCTGAGTATCTCCTGAATTCCTCTGACTTCCGCAGCCCAGCTGTCTGAGAGGGCTCTTCTTGTTTCCATTCCAAACATTCTCATTTTATTTATTTATCCAACACAACTTATTTATCCAAAGTGATACTTTTTTTTGGAAAGCAGGGTCAGTCAGTCCCTGGAGGCACTGGGAGTTAGGGGCCTCGGTCAGGGACCCAGCGGTGACATCACTCTCCCGACCCTGGGATTTGAATTAGTCCTAATCCTGTGAGCCACCCAAGACCTCAAAGCCCTTTCCTTTTAATTTTTCCAAATTACAGGTGATAATACATTGATTTGTTCATAACCCAGCCTGCTGTTTAATGTTTGACATATTTGTGAGTTATTAATGGCAATAAAAAGCCCCCACATACCTGCCTTCCTGAATCACCAGCCTGTGACCCGCCCCCCCCTCCCCCCATCCTGTGTTTACCTTGTCTTCCTCTGGGCCGGATCTAACATGCAGAAAAGCCAGCCTAAAAAAGCAGACAGGTGTGACCCATCTCGGCTGAAAGTAAACATAATCCCTGTTGGCGCATGGGGGTGAAATGGGGGTGGTGGGTGCCTGTGATCAGAAGGTCGCCGGTTCTAGTCCCACGGTTGGCAGGGCTATTCCACCGTTGGGCTCTTGAGGAAGTCCCCTAACCCCCAGTTGTTCCAGGGAAAAAATGTACACTGCTTTGGATAAAAACGTCTGATATGTAAATAAATGCAAATGCTTGCATGTAGGTGCCTCCAGATTCTTGGCCAGCTCGCTTCTGAGAAACAATGCTGAATACTTCCATTGCCCCAAAGTGGTGTTATACTACCTTGCTCTGCCTGAGGTTGGGGATGTCGGGTTGACCCGAAAATATTAACTATACCAAGTTTTGACTACGCAATGATGGGCAGGCAACATGACCAGCCAGATACAGTTACTAATAATCACATCCAGTTCAATTAAATTTCTATATAGCGCCTATTATAACAGAGTCACCCCAAGGCGCTGTACATGGGTTGTAATTACGATGATGAGAAATCTTTTATTTGCCATTTGCACAAGTACAGGTAGATTGGAATGCTTCTCTTTGCCTGGCCCATCTTGCTCTCCATAGCAGTGCCCCCGCAGCTGGGGGTTAACAATACTGCGTTATTTATATAGAAAAAGCAGAGGGTTATTCCCGCACATGCCGCATTCACAGAGCGGGGCTGCTTTCCTGTGAATGGCTGGAGGTGACGGATGCGGCGCGTTGCTGTTTGCAGAGTCACTCCATGAGGGTGGTGGCTCTGTAAACACAGAGCAGCGCCGTCAGCCGCCCTCAGACCCCAGCGGACGCCGAGTTTGCTCTCCCTGCTTGGTGAGCTGGGAGCTTGGGAAACACATAAGGGGTGATGGGGGGGTCCCGACTTTCCCAGACACCCGAGCATTTTTCCCAATCTCCTGGATCCAAGCCCCTGCCTCCCCCTCCCCCAGAGCCCGGTTACCACATTTGGAACTCATTAAAGCCCCCCCACCAGCCTCCAACGAGCCCCTCAGAGCCAAGGGAAAGAATAGAAGATGAAAAATCTTCCCCCCCCTCCCCCACTAAGTTTTTCCACGTCTCCCCCACCCCCACGCCCCAGGAGCTCCTCTGAGGGTGATCTAAGTGCAAAGGCATGGGCTGCTGGCCGCCCCTCATCGGGGGAGCGGCTGCGTTAGCGCGTTAGCCTGTTAGCCGTCTTCCATGCTGCCCCCCCCCCCCCCCCCCCCCCCACACGGCCTATAAGCACTTAAAATGTGACACTTCCTCCGGTTTGGCTCTGCACCCGGCATCCCGCTGCCCCTCTCACCCGGACTGCTGTACGTGTTTGTTGACGGAGCTGATCTTCTGGATAAGAATAGTGTGAATTCTGAAACACACATTAAATTTCCCTTAAAAGATTCCGACACTTTGGACCGCTGCATTAAAATCCGCACAGTGCTATTGATTTTGTGACTTGCTGCTGGATTATGTTCGATTAATCTTGGTGTTGTTACTCTTGTCTTCAGTTTTCATCCTTCAGTTTTATTTATTTATGTGAGCTGCTTGCTAACAGTACATCTGTAAGCACCCCGCATCCATGACCAATGATTGACAGTCCCGATTGCCATCCTAGCCAATCAAATTGATCGCTCCGCATCCTTCCCTCCTCTCTCTCTGCAGGCCAGGTGATCACGGCAGAGAGCTTCATGGAGCAACTGGACAACGGCTTCCTGCTGTGCCAGCTGGCCCAGACGCTGGAGGGGAAGTTCAGAGAGAGTGAAGCCGGCAAGGTACCAGCGATGGGAAGAGGGGGAGGCTGGACCGGCGGTCATGCTGGACGTCATTACGGGAAGCCAGCAGAGATCTGGAAATGGACTAGCATTGCTGTCAGCGATGAATTACAGCACGGGGATTGTCTCGTTGTTATTGCTTATCTACAGATTATTATTAATACTACTAGCAGATAGTTAAATAGTTAGTTAGACCCCCTCAGAAGGGTGCTTGTTTGGTTTTGGCTATGTTTTTGTCTGAGAAGCTGTGGTATTGAATAAGTGCCAGAATAAGTCTTTGGTATTCAGGGCCTAAGGTGTCACTTTTGACATTGGAGCGGAGTTTGGCTCAGCATGTTGGGAGGCTGTGTCTGCGATCAGAAGGTTGCTGGCTCAAATTTCCAGATTTGGCTGTGTGATGTCACAAGTTGGGCCCCAGAGTAAGGGCCTTGACCCCTGGGACTGTCTGACACTGCTTTCTCAATAATGCCTGCGTCGTTGGATAAAAGTGTCTGATAAATATGTAAAAAGAACAGGTGGTAGGTGGTATCTAACACCATTTGGGTGGTGAGTAGGAGCGGGACGTGGGCATGGTGTGTCGTTTGAGCGGCCAACGCCTGCTGGGTGCCGTGTGAGGAGCGCAGCTCCTGCAGATGCTTAAACTGACCTCGCATTTTTTCGATTATAAAGGAATTCGAAGCAGACAGAGCTGCAGAGGTCAGTCTGACGAGCTCAGTGCTGCGTCTCTGTGAGTAGTGCTCGCGCCCGCAGGCACCTGCAGTCAGTTTGTCTGCGCGTGTCCCGTGCAGTGTAGGCAGCAAGCTCAAACCTGCGGGATTCAGGGATTCAAACCTGCGACCTTCCGATTGCAGGCACAAAGGCTTAACCCATTTAGCCTCACACAAGCCTCCCATGGTTGACATGCTAAGACACAGAATTTCCTGCAGTACATGAGCCTGGCCCTTTACAAAGTAACGAATGACTGTACAGTGTACAGTGTACAGTGTATCAGGCTGACACTACACTAAGTGTTAAGCACCCGTAGTACATCAGTCTGGCCCCAGAAGCAGTAATCTCAGGAAATGCAGTACCTGTCCCTTGAGATATTTTTGTGAGTAGGTTCTGTGACTATGGCAACAAAGTATTGGGGAATAAGTCTCGTGGGTCCAGTCTGCCCTCAGACGGAGCCACTGCGCTGGATGGGTCGTCATTTGGGTGCGCGCTCACTGAAAGCAAACGCATCAGGGAACAGGACACCGTGTGCTGGAATGACAGTGTCTTTTGTGCTTTTAGTGCTGTTCGCACAAAAGAATCTGTCGCGGTCTTTTCTCCAGAAGCAGAGAATCCCCCCCCCCCGACAATTTTGATGGATCCGATTTCCCGCTCGTTTATCGTGAGATATTTTTCTCAGTCGCAAATTTTGCTGAATTGAACGCACGCAGTCTTGACACGAGATACCACAGATGTGCAGAGTTCCCAGGCTTGAAAGGTCTCGCTGTACTTTTGCTTTGATGCAGTGAGGTGAGCTCAGCGGTGTGGGCTTCAGGTCCAGATCACACTCTACAGCTGATACATGCCTTGGATTCAGATAGGTACTGTACTCAAACCTCTGTGCTGTGAAGTTACTGCGCTCTGGCCGATGGCTGGTTGCTGAATAAATCTTGTCTAAGGCCTTTAGAACATTTATATAAAACAGATTAATTCATGAGCAGAGTGAACCCCCTGGTAGACATTTATCAATAGAGACATTTCAGGCTAACATCCAATAATGCTAAAATATCCAGCACAAAGTTTGCGCAGTATACTTTGCAGTGGGCTTTGGTTTATGCTCATGGATCGGAGGTCCAGCGGGTCACTATCCTATTTGCCGGTGTCATGGTTCCATGCTGTCGCAGGGGGCGCTGTGTCACTCAGTAGGTTAGGCTTGTGTACCTGTTGCTGGTTTGAGTCCTGTGCTCGACAGTACACTTACAGTGCCGTGCTTGGGGTCTTAACCCAGTGCTCCAGAAGTGCTAGATCAATGTTTGACCCTGTGCTCTGACCTTGGGTGTCACTCTTGTGTCTATGTCTCTCTCTCTCCGCAGTCATCTATCCCATTTCCCCACAGCAGAGTCCGGAGAAGCCACTTTGGGCAGGGCCTCGAAATTGTAGCATATGGGCCAGGCTAATGATGGAAAACTGTGGTAAACTTCAACCCCCCCAGCATAGGGGGACCTGGCTGGGAAAGACATTACCCCCCCCCATTTTTCTGGGGTGCATTATTGAATTGTAAATGCTTGTTTTGAGCTGATGCCAGCGGCTGAGCGCACAGGCTGTAATAATGAGCTCGTCGAGCTCTGCTATGGCGGCTGCTGTCAGCATCCAGGGGAGGGAGTGTGGGGTCCACCACTGTGACACCAGGTGACACCAGGAGAACAGGGAGACATTCAGTACCTGCATGCAATTTAGACATTTTCATAGTGGACCCCCTAGCTAAATGGATTTGTCTGTTTTTTACGGAAATCTGGGGAATGCTTGTATTCTGAACAGGCAGTCTGTCTGTCTGTCTGTCTGCCTGTCTCTCTGTCAGTCTGTCTGCCTGCCTGTCTCTCTGTCAGTCTGTCTGCCTGTCTCTCTGTCTGTCTGTCTGCCTGTCTCTCTGTCCGTCTGCCTGTCTGTCTGCCTGTCTGTCTGTCAGTCAGTCTGTCTGCCTGTCCGTCTCTCTCTGTCTCTTTGCCTGCCTGCCTCTCTGTCTGTCTGCCTGCCTGTCTCTCTGTCTGTCTGCCTCTCTGTCTCTCTGCCTGTCTGCCTCTCTGCCTGTCTATCTCTCTGTCTCTCTGCCTGTCTGCCTGTCTGTCTCTCTGCCTGTCGGTCTCTTTATCTGTCTGCCTGTCTCTCTGTCTGTCTGCCTGCCTGTCTGTCAGTCTGTCTGTCTGCCTGTCCGCCTCTCTGTCTCTCTGCCTGTCTGCCTGTCTGTCTGCCTCTCTGTCTGTCTGCCTGTCCGCCTCTCTGTCTCTCTGCCTGTCTGTCTCTCTGTCTGTCTAATATATCTGTCCTACTCTTCAGCTTTTCTGGGATCTCCCATTACCTCCCAGGGCTGGTTCCCAAAAACCCTCATTAAGTCCTGAGTGAATAGAGCAGTACACTCGTTAAGACGCTTGATTACACGGCTCGTTGGCAGCCATCGGCTCCAGCATCAGGACTAGAGCCTGTGATGCGTGTCACCATCACAGTGTGACTGATGGTTCTTCTTTGGAATCTTATTTTATAGCCTCTGCCCCCTGCCCCCTGCCCCCCCCAAGGCCTGATTCCAATTAGCCGGTCGGGTCTGCGGGGTTCGGGTTTGGCACGGCTTACGGGCGCTGCAATAAATGGGGAATCGACTGTTATGGAGACACCGGCGACGAGCAGCCTTTGTCAGACGCTGGACCTGCCTGTGGTCCCTCATTTTAGTGACGCTGCTTTATTTATTCCTTAGGAATATGTGATGTGGTGAAACGGCACCATGACGACCTCCCAGTGCATGCTGGGGTGATGCTGACATAATGGCCGCTGTGTGAGGGGGAGAGGAGAGGAGAGGAGAGGAAGGAGATCCCATCAAGCAGGAAACATGAGAAGGTTCTCCTGAATGCTAGTCAACAGAGGAGGTGTTTAAAGGGCTAGAGCAGGGTGGGGAGCCTGATCCATGGAGAACCGGAGTGGGTACCGGTTTTTTGAAGGACCTCTCAATCAGTCAATCACAGTGGGTCCCCAGGACTGGAGCTGAGAACCACTGCTTCATTATTGGCTGATTGAGAGGTCATCCCAAAAACCCGCACCGAACCTGTGTGTCTACATCACAATCCCAGAGACCCAACAGTGCAGGTAAATTTGTGTCAGGTGACTCCATTATAATTTTTTTCACACATATCAATGTGTGCAGGGGTCACTTTGTTAGGTACAGCGGCTCATTAACACGGACCAACCAGCCGGTCATGTGGCTGCAGCTGAATACATACAGCAAGCAGACAGGGTCACAAGGTTCACTTAGCATGTCTCAGAGCATTAGAATGGCGTGAGCTAAGTGATCTGATCCTCCCAGGAGAATGGCCAGACTCGTTAATGCTAACAGGAAGGCCACAAGTGCAAGAATGATGGCTCAGGTTGGCAGTGGTGCGCAGAAAGGCGTTTCCGAACACGGAATGCTCTTACCACTCTCGGGGGACGGGGAAGTTCCACATGGGGGTCTCTAATAATTTGGCCACTGAGCATTTATATCTAATCTTTGCTCAATAGTCATTGATTATTAGCACAAGTGGTATAAATAATGAATTATATAACCATGAACATTTAATCATTTCAATTTCATTCCCGAATGTTACATTCATGGAAAGAAGAATAAGTGCTTCTCATTCCAAAAGAACTTCCCGAATTCAGGGCAACTCTCGTGCAAAAGCCGGTTTTACTCCTTTGCGTTTGCGGTTTATATGTCTATTGGGCAAGGTTACAGTTTATGTGGAGCTGGATTGTAGAGTAACGATGTGAACAACAGTGTTAAAACCAGCAAGCGACGACCTGCCAACGCAGCGAGGGTATACAGTGCCTGATGCTGCGTCTGATATGAAAGCAGCAGCAGCAGCAGCAGCTCTGTGGGAGAACCTCTGCATACCTTTCGTGCTGATGGTAACTTCCTGTCCGAGACGCTGGCTGATAGCTGGATTAGCGTCCCCAGCCTCTGACACTGAGTCAGACTTTGGATCACCCTGCCGCAATGCGTACCTTCTGAAATCACAGCATTGGCTTCTCCAAGATCTAACGGGCCCCCCGCTTGTGAGAGAACCTTCCAGAATGCTGAATGCACTGCAGAGTCCATATCATGACCCAGGATTTGGCCCCCAAGTTTGTTGGCTTGCAGTTGGTGATTATAACTCTGTCTTAGGCTCAAGCCTGTGTGTGTGTGTGTGTGTGCGTGTAGGTGTGTGTGTGCGGTGTGTGTGTGTGTGCGTGTAGGTGTGTGTGTGGTGTGTGTGTGTGCGTGTAGGTGTGTGTGTGTGCGTGTAGGTGTGTGTGTGCCTTTGAAGGGATGGAGGTTCTGAGGAGGAGGAGACAAAGGAGAAATCTTGACACAGGAGTGAGTGTTTCCAGCATGACATCACTGTACCTAACTCTGAGACCCAGACTCTCACATCCTGTGTAAAAACCACAGAATAGTTCATAAATCGACCTGGATGGCAGCGCAAAGCATGTGATCTTATCTCACGGGACTGCCCCCCCAACTCCAAACCACGCCCTGACCCTTGACCACACCTCTTTCGCCTTATTTGATGGCAAAGCCCCCCCTGCTTTCTCCATAAGACGCACAAAGAAACCTGGTTGCCTCTGATCGCTTCCAGAATATTGATCAGTGGATGAGAGCGGAGAACTTCCCAGCTGAAGTGAAACCAGAACCTGGCATGGAGGCACCGGCACCCGTAGAGGAAGGGTCTGCCCAGTCACCCGGCCAAAGTGGAGACCCACATCCCTTTGTGACCAAAAGCAAATGCTTCTCACAGACCAAGGGCTCAACCTGATTCCAGCCATCTACAGCAAATGGATCTGTCAGTCAGACAGTGTCCCCAAAAAACATTATAACTTCTTTAGCAGCTGATCATTTTTATGGTCTTTTATAGATAATACTATTTGTGATTCATGTTTTTGTTGCTTTGATGGTCACAGTTAGTATTAGTGAGTATTTTGAGATCACTTAGACTAGTCTTTGTTGACTGTGGTTTAGATATTATAATGGTTTAGGGATATCCTCTGATTTCATATAAATATAATGGCATACAGCTAAAGAATACAACTAAAGAAATCATAACAGAAACGTTCCATCTGTGATTTATATTCTGTCTGTGATTGGCTGTCTCTGTGACTACAGTTTCTACTCTGTCTGTGATGGGCTGTCTCTGTGACTACAGTTTCTACTCTGTCTGTGATCGGCTGTCTCTATGTTTGCAATTTCTACTCTGTCTGTGATAGGCTGTCTCTGTGTCTGCAATTTCTACTCTGTCTGTGATAGGCTGTCTCTGTGTCTGCAATTTCTACTCTGTCTATGCTGGGTTATCTCTGTGTCTGTAACTTCTACTCTGTGCCAGGCTCTATGTTCTGTTCTGTCAGTCGGTGTATCATCGGCCGTCTCTGTGTTCGTTTCCCACAGACGCTCCCCAGCCGAAGGATCCCCTGCCGTGCTAGCGCCCCCTCTGGCTCCTTCTTTGCCCGGGACAACACAGCCAACTTCCTGTCATGGTGCCGTGAAGTGGGGGTGGATGACACCTGTCTATTTGAGTCTGAGGGCCTGGGTGAGTATCTGAGCCCTGCTCCCCCTCCCACACCTGTCTGCCCCCCTGTAGGTCATGTGACCCCTCCCCCCATCTCTACACCCATCTCCATCACCTCCTCTCTGTACCTCTCGATGCTTTTGCCATATTGCCCTTGTCCATATTTCTGCACCGTCTGTCATCCCATGAAAATAACATTCATTGTTTAGATTTTCGTCCATCCTGTTTCGTAGCCTTGGGCGATCTACTGCTCTTCTCTATGGTTTTCTTGTTTGTGAAAGTTCTTTACCTGGTAAACTGGTCTAGAAGCTTAAACAGACAGATCCTGCTATGCAAATGTCATCCTGTACGTTCAGTTTCATGCATGTTGTAGTTGTAAGCTTGTACCAGGTAATAAGCCAGGGACACACAGAGGATTATCTGTCTCTTTGGGATTCAGCGACTAGTAAATAGTCCACTGTGTGCTTTTTTGAGTTCAGAAAAGCAAAACTTTATGCAGATTTAATTAATTAGAACTGATGAACTGATTGGTTGCTGTTTGTCACAGGCTAAAGCTGAGTAAGGAGCAGTACTTTTCAGTCATTTTTAATCAATTTGAAAATAGTATCATTAGACATTTTTAGGTCTGAAACATTTGCCTGTTTAGGTCAGATATACTTCAGCTTCAAGCTGGTAATGATTGATTAATGGAATCCTGGGATGCAATAAACAATCTTTAAGACCTTTGCCCCTTACAGGGTTCGTCTAGTTAACCCTTCTGTACGAGGGAAGTTACGCCGACGTTGGGAAGAGTTCTAGGACCTTCTGTAGAGGTGGGGCTGTTTTTTTCTGGGGCCCCACTCACAAAGTCCCTTTGGGGCCCCTTGCCCCCCTTTAGATGTTTCAAAAACTAAATAAATACTTAGCGAGTAGAGTCAGAAGATCGTAGCTAGCTAGCTGGTTAGCAGAACATGCTGCTTCAGTATCTCCTAAATAAGGAAAGTGTTTGTTTAGTGTTTAGTGTAGTGCCTGTTTTAAGCCAACAGGAGGCCCCAAGCAAATGCATGGTTTGAGTGGTGGTAAGCATGGCCACTGTTCAGACCTAGCCACAGCTTAACCGGACGCTTAATGTATCTGTGTTAGTTCCCAATGCCGCCAGTTGGCCAGTGCTCAGGAAAGTCAAGCGGAGGTTCTGCTCTGCACCTCACTACACTGGTGCAGGAGTGGAACAAAGCAAGATGAATTCCTGCCAGGGTGCCTAAGGGGTTGGGGCAGCATGGTCAGGACATGTCCCACTGCACAAAGACGGCCTTCTCCTCTGCTCGCCCGCCCTCTCTGCCTGGATCCGGATCTGTCGTGGGAGAAAGGGCTAAATTGTTAACTCGAGATGGACCGGAGAGATCCAGGGACACAAAAGCGCCTCTTCTCATCTGTCTGAATGGGCTGCTTGTGTGCCGTGAGGAATCGACACCCTGGACCCAAACCCACCCACCTGTCACCACTGCCAGGGGTCACCCCACAGTGCAACTGGAATCTAAACCCTGGCTCCAGTGCACGGGGGGCACCTATCTGGGCTCCTTCTTGGTTTCTGTCCTGTTGGCTCCGCCTCCCCGACCCATTCGCTGGGTGGTGCCTGAGACAAAGGAACCTCCTGGCACGTGACCCGACAGCCTGGCACAAGAAGGAGGACACGGGGTGACAGAATCTAGGCCAGATTCCAGAGAAACTGCGCTAGTTCCCACAGAGTATGATGCCACCTAAATCCTGTGGGACGTGATGTTCAAACAGTTTTTCAGGATATTAGTCAATATATTCCTTTTGTGGTTGGGTCAAAACTTGTAGGTGTCCTCGGGAACTGAAAAAGTGGGGGGCGGTGTGTGGCTGAGTGGGTTAGGATCAGAAGGTCGCCAGCTCAAATCCCATGGTCGGCAGAGTGATCTCACTGTTGGGCCCTGGAGCAAGACCCTTAATTCCCAGTTGCTCCAGGGACTGGCTGACTGCTTTCTCAAAAATGTATGAAGCTTTGGATAAAAGCGCGTGGTAAATGTCAATGGAAAGTGTGATCCGTGGTCTCATGTGTGCTTTGTTCTGTTCTTGCGCCTTTGTGTGTCTGTCTGCGTGGGACTGTGTGCCAGGTTGAGTTTGCCATCGATGTCTGCCTAGATCATAAGAGTGTGGTCCACTTCATCTATGTTCACCATCAGTAGGTCTCTATGTAATGTCATACCTGTTTACCTCAATCTCAAACCACAAGTTTACCATTTATTGTGTGAAAGGTGTTGGGGTTTCGTTCGTCTGTTTCAGTGGGCTGTGATCCCTGAAGCGATGCTTCTTCTGCCAGCAAGCATAGGTTCAGTGTTCATGTGTGAGTTCCTAGGCCTCTATACCAGTTACACCTTTTTCAGAATGTGTTCTAGAAGAAACACATACATAAACTTAAACAGATAACACTGTTCTATATTCTGTTTCTTTTTCTCTCCATATCTTCTGGCATCGTTCCTGCATAAATCGGTACGTAACTACAGCAGGCATGGCAGCCAACTCATTTCCCGTGGTGACCAGAGATAGACCAGCATTGCTTCCTGCATGGTGTGCTGTGTCACATGTCCAGCTCATGTGCACCATTACCAAAACCCACCCAGAGTATGATGGAAATTGTAGTTTTCAGCATGTGTGCCATTATGTTTGTAGTGCGCTGTGATGCCTGCTGTGTTTTTCTTTACAACCTCTTTACAACCTTTACAACTTTGTTGACTGTCCAGGTGAATTTGCATGTCTTTGTTGTCCAAAACTAGATGAAAATTCATACTGCTCACCTAAAAACCATTTCATTTATCCATATCTGTCAGTACGTCAAGTCAGCTGAAAAGCATAATTATGAAATATTTATGATATATTGATTTACTATTTTGAAAGTCTGAGATATGAACAGGTTGCATAGACCACTGTCAGGGAGAAGCCTGCTCAGTAAATACAGGCTATATTAAACCTGGATTTTATTACTTCAGTGACAATGAGGTTATGTGGCATCAGGACTGTTGGCAGGGTGTTGTGCATTACACTAGTGTTGAATATTATCCCGGGGTTGAGCATTACCCCAGTGGTGAGCATTACCCTGATGTTTAGCATCATCCTGGTGCTGAGCATTATCGCCCGTGTTGAGCTTTACCCTGGTGCTGAGCATTATCGCCTGTGTTCAGCTTTTCCCTGGTACTGAGCATTACCCTGGTGTTGATCATTACCCCAGTGGTGAGCATTACACTGGTGCTGAGCATTACCCTGATGTTGAGCATTACCCTGGTGTTGAGCATTATCCCAGTGCTAAGCATTACCCTGGTGTTGAGCATTACCCCGGTGTTTAGCATTACCCTGGGGCTGAGCATTATCCCCGGTGTTCAGCATTACCCTGGTGTTGAGCATTACCCTGATGTTGAGCATTACCCTGATGTTGAGCATTACCCCAGTGGTGAACATTACACTGGTGCAGAGCATTACACTGGTGCTGAGCATTACCCCAGTGGTGAACATTACCCCGGTGTTGAGCATTACACTGGTGCTGAGCATTACCCTGGTGTTGAGCATTACCCCAGTGTTGAGCATTATCCCAGTGCTAAGCATTACCCTGGTGTTGAGCATTACCCCCGTGTTTAACATCATCCTGGTGCTGAGCATTATCGCCCGTGTTGAGTTTTACCCTGGTGCTGAGCATTATCGCCCGTGTTGAGTTTTACCCTGGTGCTGAGCATTATCGCCCGTGTTGAGCATTACCCCGGTGTTGAGCATTACTCCGGTGTTTAGCATCATCCTGGTGTTGCTTCACTCATTCATGAGGCATTAAACTCACTGTGTACTCTATTAATGTTCAGGCACTGCCAAGGTCAGTCATTATCAGCAAACAGCAGGGCCCCAGGTTGACGATACCCAGTGCCATTTACTCCTGTTTAAGTTTCGTTTCACGGTCCATACAAAAACATAGTGAGTCAGCGCTGGACGAGGCTAATGGTTATGAGGGTTCTGGAAGCGGACTGGAGCAGGGCCAATGTGACACCACAGTGTCACATTGGCCCCCAGTGTGATGCTCGGGAGGTGAAAATGACCTTGAGATCCATGTGGTATGACCGTGTGAGTGTGGCTGTCATTCACAGCAGGCCTTCTGACAGCACGTGTGTCGTGTGTGTGTTTGTGTGTGTGTGTGTGTGTGTGTGTGTATTTGTGTGTCGTGTGTGTGTGTGTGCATCCCTCACTCCCCATGTGTATCCCTGTCTTCCCAGTTCTCCACAAACAGCCACGGGAGGTTTGCCTGTGTCTGCTGGAGTTGGGCCGCATCGCCACCAGGTGAGAGGAACCTTCACGTGACTATCTGACATGATTCAGTCATGCTTTCCAGCTTGTCTGCCTGTGTCTATCTGAAAAATGTTGCCTCAGTATTGTTTTATAGCTATGTAAAACACTAAATAACATTATGAATTTCTAAAAAAATGTTTTTGTACCACACAAAATCATCTTGTCTATGTCCTCCGTGGACCTTCTGGAATCTCTGCCTCTTCCATAAAACACCAAGAAGTTCTTTTTAATACAAACCATCCCCTGGAATGATATGTCCATCCCTGTTGGCTGGCTGTCGTACTTACTCAGTTTGGCTTTCTGCGGAAGAGCACCATCCTCTTGTAGTGAGTGTGAGAATCCGGCAAGGCTGAGCCCTTGGGGAGAAGAATATCTGCTAAGAATTAAGATGGATAGGCAGACATTTGTAGACAGAGAGACAGAAAGGAAATTTCAGTTTACACACTCATTTATACATTGACACACTAATAGACAATAACAATAAATAATAGTGAACAGTAAACCTATATGACAATCACTGAAATGTCTACAGTCTATGTTAGTGTTGGATTCTGCCTTCCTATCAGAGGCTTCGAACCAAGGTTGGTGCCCGACCTGTCCGTGACCCCTCCCTGACCCCAACTGCTGGCAAGTCACACTGCAGACAGAGTGTGTGGGTGAAGCTTGGGGCTCACAGCACGAATGTAAATGTTAATGGTCACTGGCTTATCTACCGTAACCACAACTGGACCCATATGGCTCCCAGACCCTGTCTTGGGCCAAGCCCAGCCAGGTGTGCTGGTCTGAGCTGGGGGAATCGGGGGGGGGGCAGCTCTGGCATTTTCACCCTTCTAAATCAGCCTCTCCGGAATGTTATTGACGTCCATGGAGCAGATAAGACAAGTTCTAGTGTTACAGTATGATACACCCACTGTAACCACATAAGAACTTCATCTGAACCTTCTATATTTCTTACGTTTCCCACAATGCACTTGGTCTGCTTGATAACAGTGGCTAGTGTTTGAAACGTATTGTCACGAGCGTATTGTTAAATCCAGTAGTGGCCTGTTTATATATGTTTCCTGAGGTGATTCGCATGCTTCACTGTAGATATGTGCTCACAGATGTATGGTTCGCGTATGTTGAAATGTTTTCGCTCGGATTGCACTGGATGGGCAGTAAAAGGAGGATTGTTATTTATAGTGGGGATATGGCGGAGATCTGGAGTGGGGCACACAGGGGTGTTTATGTGCGTAAGCTGCCTGCGAGGAACATAGCGGTCCTGCTTGGTATTCCCCGTCTATACCCCCCCATGCTTTTCCAGATAAGTTATTAACGTTTTTATGGCTTTCTGGGGCAGTTTTCCAAGATGAAACCCGGGCAGTGGTTGGCTTGGCTCTGATCATCACCAGTACTACAAGCATCCGTTGTAGCTGTGGAAAACATCCATCCATCTATTCCCCACCTGCTCGTCCAATTCAGGCTTGTGGGGTCAAAGCATCTCAGCTTTAAGGCTGAACGTCTTTCTGGTGCCTCTTCGTCGCTTTTGTTCCAAGACACATATACAGCTCTGGAAAAAATTAAGAGACCACTCCATATTTAAAAAAAAATCTGCATTTTTAAATCCTGGTTTAATCCTGGTTTAATCCTGGTTCTGCTGGCAAAAGGCTATACTGTGAGGCAGCTGCTTCCAGGCTCAGAGTTTTTAAGACAGCAATGAAGCAGGAGACACTGGCAATAACCAGAAACCAGCCAGGTAGAGGTGTATCTGATGTGAAAGACCTTAAAATGTTAGGAAAACTCAGGATGTAAAATATCAGCACTGATTCTGGATCAGCTGTGGCACTGGTGACAGGAATTGCGCCTCAAAACATCCTGAGGTGGTGTCAGGACATCTGTTTGGTAGCACTTTACCTGAGGAGGCACAAGTAACTTAGTAGCTCAGTTACTACTCAAGTACAAATCATGAACAAATATAGTTACTGCATGAAATACATGAACAGTTATAATTGATTAATTATAAACGAATATGGGATCAGTGCGTAACTAACACTTAGTTGCTGGTTAATTAATACAGTAAGTCAGAGTGTACTACTACATTATTTGTGCCTCCTCAATTAGAGTGTTACCATCTGTTTTAGGAAATGCCTTAGGATGCCCCCAGCTTGTGGTTGTGTGTGTCATGCCCAACCCCCTGGGGCCAGACTTGACATTTACTTGTTTGTTTGTTTATTAATCAAACACAAATATTACTGACAGGAGCTCATCCCTCTCAGGTACAAAGTGGAGCCTCCGGGGCTAATAAAACTGGAGAAGGAGATTGAACAGGAGGAGGCAGTCCCCCTACCTCCCCCCTCACCTGCCTCGCCCTCCCCAGTCAAGTCTCCTGGCAGGAAGAGCACAGGCAAGCTACTGGATGATGCTGTGAGTACCCTGCCTCTCCTTTCCCCTGTGTAACAGGCCTCTCTCCCTTCCTATGTGTAACAGGCCTCTCTCCCTTCCCCTGTGTAATAGGCCTCTCTCCTTTCCCCTGTGTAACAGGCCTCTCTCCCTTCCCCTGTGTAATAGGCCTCTCTCCCTTCCCCTGTGTAAGAGGCCTCCCTCCCTTTCCCCTGTGCAACAGGCCTCACTCCCTTCCCCTGTGTAATAGGCCTCTCTCCCTTCCCCTGTGTAATAGGCCTCTCTCCCTTCCCCTGTGTAATAGGCCTCTCTCCCTTCCCCTGTGTAACGGGCCTCTCTCCCTTCCCCTGTGTAACGGGCCTCAGTCCCTTTCCCCTGTGTAACGGGCCTCAGTCCCTTTCCCCTGTGAAACGGGCCTCAGTCCCTTTCCCCTGTGAAACGGGCCTCAGTCCCTTTACCTTTGTAATGGGCCCCTCTCCCTTTACCTTTGGCTGTTTCAGGTGAAGCACATCTCAGAGGACCCCCCTTGCAAGTGCCCCAATAAGTTCTGTGTGGAGAGGCAGTCCCAGGGCCGCTACCGCGTTGGAGAGAAAATCCTCTTCATAAGGGTTCGGCTACTTCCCCTTGCCTCTTACCTTTAGCTCTCACTTCTAACCTCTGACCTGTCACCACACTTCCAGCCCCTTAGAAACTATGCCTCATTGACTTTGGCAGAAACTCAATAGCTGCAACGGCAGCGTCACAAGCTAATGGAACTAAAAGCCCCCCCCCCCCCGTCGTCATTGCCATTGCGGGCACCCCAGGCGTGAGAGACACCACATGGAGGCACCAGCGCTTGGAGCGATCAGCCGTCTTACCCTGACCATCCCCAGCCGTAAATGGGTTCACATGCCTCCTGATGGATAATCATCAGCATGAGGATGCCAGTACCAGGGCATTGTAGCAGGAGCTCAGTGCTTCGGTTACTCATTTCTAGCATGAAATTGTAACATAAAATCCTTAGCGTAATATCCCCTAGTGCCACTTGTGTAACTGCATTGCGTGTGTAGGAGCACAACGCAGGACAGGCCGGCGAATTCACACTTTCCCCAGAGAAGATCTCCCAGGGTGACGGTTGCCTGGCGATCTGCATCCAAGGCTCAGCATGGTAGGGGCCAGTCCGTCTCGGAGGATTAGCACGCAGCACATTTGGTCTGAACCTGTGGGCAGAGCATCCTGAATACTACAGCAACTCGACGGTGACGGGATCTCTGTGCGGAGACGGTGACGGGATCTCTGTGCGGAGACGGTGACGGGATCTCTGTGCGGAGACGGTGACGGGATCTCTCTGCGGAGACGGTGACGGGATCCGCCCCGACTTGACAGGACTCAGGATTTATGCCCCCACCTCTATTTTTCTTATCCA